ATAGCAAAATGATTGAGTTCACTGGTAATAAAAAATATATGTGGATTACAATTAAAAGGCAATCAATACCTATCATGTAACTAAAAATCATAAATTCCATATGATAACCTTTAAAAATCATTACCTACAAACACTTGTTTTCTTTATAAATTAATAAGACACATAAATTTATTAAAAGGTTCATAAGAATGACCATAGAACATCTCCACTAGGGAAATTTCATAAAAATAAATTTCAACATTTTTTCCATATTAGAAAAATAGGAATTATATGTTTAAAATGAAGAGAAATGTTGTGCAATTTTGCCTAAATAAAAATTTAGGGAGTCATTTAAATAAGTATGAAGACTACAGAAACTGGGTACGAAGACTACAGAAACAAAAACTAGAGCTTATGAATGCTTCAAGATTATAAGAAGAAATACATGGGTAGACAAGAGCCTCAGGCAACATCTGCATATGCACACACACACAACTGTTCACACAAATGCACAAGGCACTCACATACACAGGAACCAGGGCATACATGCATGGATACCTGCACACACATGCACAAAGATGAAGGTGCTAATATGCTCAGGGTTTTAGATACTGAGTCATCTGTCTTTTCAAAGTTTCTTCCTTTTATTTTATTCTTATTATTGGGAAAATATGAAAACAAGTACAACTGAAATAAATAAGAAAAATTTGGTTTTAATACAGGAATTTCATACACATCATATTTCTACATATAACTGTTTTTTTTTCCTCAGTTGAAATCAAAGACCAACACAACAACAAAAGTTAAATTGGAAAAGAAAGCAAAGTAGAACTTGGCTAGAACCATGAGTGGCAATAGCATACAACTTCCCTTATACAATTATGTTATAGTAAGGCCAACAACAAAACATATAAATCCATACTCTACACACAGAAGAACACAAAGAAGTAGAGATGTATTTTCACTTATCTAATAGCATATAGGGATTTATTATTTTTATTGTGAAACCTTGAATAATGCAAGTGCTTACACTGGCTTTAGTTACATTTTGAAAATAGTCATAAGTTATGTATTAATATACAAATAAATTCAAAGAAATTACCTGCAATATTAATTTACCTGAGATTTGAGCCATTTCCATTAAATGAAAAAAGAGCCAGGAGCTTAAAGACTCTGAGTTTAACCTCCAGTATGGGGAAAAAAGTAAAGTATATAAAATCAGGAAGCAGATATAGTAGGCATACAATAAATACATTTATTTGCTTATTTATTTATTTGATTTTTTTCTTTTTGCAGTGGTAGAGTTTAACCTGATGTCCTTGCACATGCTAGGCAAGGGCTTTCCACATGAATGACTATAAATAAACAAATTCTACTTAAGTTGTCTTTTCCTGTGGTCTGTTACCTATCTCAGGGTTTTTTAAAGTGTGATCCCTAATCAGCAGCAACAAAATCACGGAAGAATTTGATAGAAATGTAATTCTCAGCCCATCTCAGAAATATCTGAGAGTGAAGCTTGGTTTAGAAGTTGTCTGGGAGATTCTGATATGCAATGCATGCTCACTTTGGAAAAACAATTACATTCCACCCGCACTACACCCAGAAAACAAGAAGAGTTGCCCGTGTCAATGAAATACCTACTTTAGTGAGATTCTGTGGTCTCATCATGAGATTTACAGTTCTCCAATCTTTAAGAAAAGTGTCGGTAAAATTTTAGGGAAAAATGTGAATGACACATAAACTCAAAATCTGAAAGATATAGGTAATAAACTATAGGAAATCTCTAAAATGGAGAATAAAGTTTGTGTATGAGAATGAGTTCTAAGTAAGATCTTAGGCTAACATTTGGTAAAAGTATGAGAGAAAATCAGGATTAGGGTGAAAGTCTCAGAAAAGTACTATTCCAAAAGGCCAACCAAAGGGTCCTCATAGGAAAAAAGATTCTATACATCAGGTACTGATGAAAGAAATGGGTTTGGAAGTCAATGTTGTCATTTATCAGACATGTCACCTAGGGAGAACTTCACTAGCACTTCTGCTGTGAGAAAGTCTTCAGACAATGTCTAAATCTTGTTTCTCCAGGGAGTCCATTTTGAGGACAAGTCCAATAAATGTGAACAGTGTGGGTAAGCATACTGTCAAATATCAGCCATAAAAAAAAGAAAAGGCTGAGTCATTTATACCGAAATGGATGAATCTTGAAACCATAATGCTATGGGAAATAAATCAAATACAGGTTAAGTAAATATCCCAGAATTTCTCTCATATGAGAAACCTAGCATATAAATAATCAAAAGAGGAAAAGAAAAGAGAGAGAGATAGTAGGAAAAAAGGAGGTAGGCTTTATGAAGGTGAAAAGGGTTTCTGGGGAAGTAGGGAGAGGGGAGAGTGGAGGGGAATGGAGAGATAAACCAAGATGTGATGTTTATGATTTATAGGTACCAAAGGATGTCATTATTATGTATAGCAAACATAAAGTAATAAAAAAGAGAGTTTGTAGAGTCCAAAGATGATATTTTCATATTTACATTTTGTCTATATGAGAGAGCAGCCATATGAAATAAAATCAGCATCAAGAGGAGAATTTAAGCAGACATTACTTACAAAGGAGGCCACATAAGACACATTCCAAAAACACATGGGAATTAACATCAGGTTTGCTGTCTGTACTTACAGATTGCTTGTGTGACTGTGCCCCTTAGTTGCTGGTGGTAAATGAGAAAATTCTATTCAATGAGACAGAAACTCTATGCATGGTTACTACATGTAGGAACAATCTTGAAGTCTATGAAAACTATAGAACTATGCGTAACACCTTCCCTCCAAAACCATTGCCAATTCTCCCACAGAGATAACTCAAAATGCAGTCAGTTTTCAAAGTTAACACTTTAGACAGTATTTTTTTAAAGTGGCAAGACGAAAGGAAAGGGTTTGTGTACTCCTAGTGAGGGGAATCTAGGAAGGAAGTTGGTTACAAGGCAGAAACTGAAGATGGCAATTGGATAGATTTAGAGGGTAAAGTGATTTACTAACTCAAAATGCAGTCAGTTTTCAAAGTTAACACTTTAGACAGTATTTTTTTAAAGTGGCAAGATGAAAGGAAAGGGTTTGTGTTCGGGGATCTAGGAAGGAAGTTGGCTACAAGGCAGAAACTGAAGATGGCAATTGGATAGATTTAGAGGGTAAAGTGATTTAGGGAGAATATGAGGAGGAAGAAAGGAAGAAAGGAGCAAGAATAGTAGTAATTAAGAGAGTAGAAAACATGGTGTGGGAAGCAGAATAATTTTCTCCCAAAGAGGTTCACACACTAATCCCTACAATGTGTAAATGTGTCAGGGCAAAAGGCAAAGGAATTGAAATCATAATCACCTGACAGTAAGACCAGTGGATTATCCTGGATGATCTGTCATTAACCATGTAATCACAGGACAGAGTCAGATAAGAGATAAGGGGACAGAGGTGAGTCAGACTGATGCAACTGCTGACTTTTAAATATGGAGGAAAGAGCCATGACTTAAGTAAGGAAGGCTGGTGGCCTCTAGAAGCCACGTAGGTAGGGAGACCTAGCTACTAGGTTCCCCAGTAGCTTCCAGAAAGAAATAAAGGCAAGCTGACACCTTCATTCTAATCCATGCAACTCACTGAAGTTCTGACCTCTAGACCAATAAGATAATAAATGTAGATATTTTTAAGAACTAAATATGAGTTGATTTGATAGGATAGAAATAAAAGTGGTA